TTCCTTCCTTCCTTCCTTCCTTCCTTCCTTCCTTCTTTCCTTCCTTCCTTCCTTCCTTCCTTCCTTCCTTCCTTCCTTCCTTCCTTTTCCTTTCTGTTATTTCAGAAAATAGAGCAAGAGCTGTGTACAACTTATTTGCTGAGGCTGGGGTAAGCCTGTTACTGGACAAGTTAAAAGTACCCCAGAGCAAGAAAGTATAGGCTTGTGTACCTTGTAAACATCCCTGAAATGCAAAAGATTGTTCACTATGAGATAGGAGCGTAGTTATACTCTAATAAAGCATTACAAATGGACACTAAATTTGGGATTTCATATGTAATTCTCATAATATTTGTCTTTAGATGAGCTTTCAACTGTTTTAAAGATGTAAGAGCCATTCCTAGCTTGCATGCTGTGCAAAAGCAAGAGGTAGGCCAGATTTGGCCTGTGGATTATGGTTTGTCCAGTTCTGATCTAACTTCAGAAACAAAGTGACACAATATCCAAATGGATTCTGCCCTTGCCTTTATTATTCAGTGTCGGTTAGGAAAAGTCATATGACTGGCCCGCGCTGACTTCCCTGCAGGTGCTGTGTGGGGCTGGCTGTGACACTTCTTACCCAATGAGTACTCCTTACCTGCTCTCATCACCCCCCAGCAGCTCAGCAGCATCGCTTTCTCTACTTTATAGTCATGCCACTAGTCTTAGTACTTTTGGATTTTTTCTGGCTTCTAATTGTTTATTTTGCCATTGTTTATGGTGATGGTCTAGACATGTATTGTTTATTTCAAGTTCACCGCCTCATTCTGTCTGCTTTGTTCAATGTATCAGGTTAGCCCACCTCACCAAAGTAAAGACCGTAACTAACCCTTTCACTGACGACTGCTGAGCAAAGCAGTCTTAGAGAATGTGAGAACTGAAATGAACATTGGAGAAAGATACTTATTAACATATAAATTCAGAAAGATTAATACCCAAACTATATTGCTAAAATTTCTGAGTCAATTAGGAAAAGGACAAGACAGTTGAAAAATAGGCTTGTAAAGCATCTCAAATAAGTAGGAACCTTAATGGCTACTAGTACTTGAAGTAAAGCTTGATCATGTTTGCTACCAGGGTAACACTTACCCACCAGATTGATGAAAGAAAAAAAAAAGTAAATACTTGAGAATGTGGAAATACTGAAATATAAATCAGGTGAATATAACTGTTGATGTCCAGGGCTTATAGTTTCTGCTTTTTTATGGTCTTAACAGCTGTTGGCATAGGATCTTAAATATACTTACTTTGTTTTTGTTTTGCCAGTCCTGGGGCTTAAACTCAGAGCCTGGGCATTGTCCTTGAGCTCTTTTCATCAAGGCTAGCTCTCTGCCTCGTTGAACGGAGCCACAGCTTCACTTCAGTTTCTTAGTGATTAACTGGAGATAAGAATCTCCTGGACTTTCCTACCTGGGCTGGCTTTGAACCTCAATCCTCAAACTTCTGCCTCCTGAGTAGCTAGGATTATAGGTGTAAGCTACCAGGACCCACCTTAAACATACATTTTTAAGTTTACATTTGTTGTTTTATTTTTAGCATTTATTAATCTGAAATTTATTTTGGGGAATGGTGTAAAGTAGGAACCTACATTTATTTCTTCTATATGATAATTTGTCCAATATCATTTGTTGAATAGTGAACCACTGATTACCACTAGGACAATTAGGCAAAATTTATGAAATCAGACATGCTACGACTAGCTTCTGTTTTCAGTGCTTTAAAGTATCATCTCTTAATCATACCTAGAGGTGGCTGGGGAAGGTGGCTCAGTGGTAGAGTGCTTGCCTTGCATGCATGAGGCCCTGGGTTTGAATCCTTAGCACCACATAAGCAGAAAAACCTGGAAGTGGTGCTATGGCTGAAGTGGTAGATCTCTAGCCTTGAGCTGAAGAGCTGAGGGACAGCGCCCAGGCCCAGAGTTCAGTTCAATACTGACAAAAAAAAAATCATATCCAAGCTGGTGGCTTACGCCTGGAATCCTAGCTACTCAGGAGGCTGAGATCTGAGGATCGCGGTTCAAAGCCAGCCTGGGCAGGAAAGACTGTGAGACTCCTATCTCCAGTAAACCACCAGAAAACCGGAAGTGGCACTGTAGCTCAAGTGGTAGAGCATTCGCCTTGAGCTGAAGAGCTGAGGGACAGAGCCCAGGCCGAGAGTTCAAGCCCCACGACCGACCAAAAAAAAATCATAGCTAGAGATAAAATGATGGCTCAGTATAACAACTTGCTAAGTGGTAAAACTTGGATTTTGTCCATATAGTCTAAGTTTAAAACCGAGGCTCCTAGCCTTATGTACACGTGGGGAATTTGAGCCAACAAGTGGTTTGTTATATCCCAGCCAGACATGATTTTTGTGTGTGTGCTGGTGCTAGGGCTTGAACTCAGGGCCTGGAAGCTGTTCCTTAATTGTTGCTATTGTTGTTTCTTTTGTTTGTTTGTTTTTGTTTAAGGCTAGGGCTGTATCACTTGAGCTAGGTAGAGCTCTAATGGGAAATAAAAGTCTCACAGACTTTCTTGCCTGGTCTGGCTTTTAACTGCAGTCCTCAGATCTCAGCCTCCTGACTATCTACCAGTAACTGGCTAAAATTGCTTTTATTTTCCTTTACTTGGGTCACAATAAAATGCTTAGTGTCAGAGTGATGAGGCAAATTTGTTTTTTTTCTCAAATTGAATGTCGTGATGGCAATGTTATGTAAAGCCAAGGAAAAACAAGAGTACCATTTCTCAGGTTTATTTTAACAGAGTTTAACTGGGAAAAAAGTTCTTTAAAAGCCTAAAGGATATCATCTTGTTTTGAAATTTCAGTATATAACTAGTTGTGTAAATGGTTTTCTTACTTAAGTAAATGCTGACAAGAGGAGTTTTATTTGTTGTTAAGGTGATTATTGTTGGCTTGATAACCATGAAATGATACTATGACCTGGGATTTATAGCCAGACAAATCTGTAATGATATCCTAGCTCTTTTACTTGATCTATTTCAATGGGCTAGTAATTGAACTTTTTCAATGAGGTGGGTATATCTAAGTGTGGGTCTGATTTCAAATGGTATCATATTTGTCAAGTTCTTAGCAAGATACATAATAAGTAGCACTATCTTAATTTCCTTATATCTCACAGCATGTTTATGACACTTGGTATAGATTGGCATTTTGCTTTGTTCACATTTATATCTTTCTGAGTAATACTAGAAAAAACACAATGAAGTGATTTTTTTTCTTTTAAGTACTAGGGTTTGAACTCAGGACCTCATGCTTGTTCACTTGGCTAGCTTGCTTAGCTGTTGCTCTACCACTTGAGCCATGCCTCCAGCCCTACATTTTTCTGGTTACTTGAGAGACCAGAGTCTCACAGACTTTTCTTCCCAGCTAACTTTGAATGGCAATACTCTGGGTCTCAGGCTCCTGAGTTGCTAGTACTATAGGGATGAAAAACTAAGCACCGAACTGAGATAACTTTTATTTGGGAGATTTTAGATGAGGTAAAAGGATAAATCCTTAGTTATCTTTTTTGAAATCAAGAATTTAAAAGTACACCTTTTGTTAATTTTTGCTGAATAGGTTTCTGTCTCAAGTAATTGTCAATTCAATGCCATTCAATAATTTATTTCTCTTCTTGGGTTCTTTTGCTTAAGCATTCTAGGATAGCTAGCAAACAATTTTTTTTTTCCCTAGAGAAATAGTTTTAAGGCCATCTCAATCTGTGAGAATCATATCACAAGTTAAGTGTTTCTTAAGAATGTACTTTTAAAATTGGTCACTGAGATACTCTACCATTATATATACTGTGTTAAGAGGAAGTGTTGAAGCAAAGAGGCTCCGGGAACCTTTGTAACTCTGGCATTCACTCTTCTGGGAAGTGGTTATTGTCTAAATTGATCTCTGTTGACCTCTAGAATAGGGATCAAGTTCATCTTTCATTTTCATTGTTGTCAAAACACTAGTCTCCAAGTAACTTACATTAACAAGTCCAATAAACTATTTTATATGGTACATTGTTAGATTAGTCACATATTTCTACATCTTACTATAATTAAGTCGTTGAATCAAGTAAAAATACCTTAAGATTAATATTTCTCTAGGAATTGCATTAAATGATGTAGTTTTTCTGCTTTATCAAGTATATTTATCAGTAGATTATATGGGTATGTTTAATAAGCTGATGAGATCTGTCCAATTGAATGCTCAGAGGAAATATTATAGTAGTGAATTATTAATCTTTATGAGCATATTTGATATTGTATGTGCAGCATTGACTATATAAACGTATCTTTTTGGGGGCTGGGAAGGTGGCTCAGTGGTAGAGTGCTTGCCTTGCATGCCTGAGGCCCTGGGTTCGATTCCTCAGCACCACATAAGCAAAAAGAAAAAAGCCAGAATGGCGCTGTGACTCAAGTGGTAAAGCGCTAGCCTTGAGGTGAAGAGCTGAGGGACAGCGCCCAGGCCCAGAGTTCAGGCCCCATGACCCCCCAAAAAATAAAAATAAAAATAAATAAATGTATCTTTTGGTTGAACACAGTGGTTAAATGTGTGGTAGAATGATTTTGAGCACTCAGCCAATAAGTGGGAGGTATTCTTCTGGGACAAGGTGCAGTGCAACGGTTGTGGAATAAGTGCTTGTTTCTCACGCAGGTGCTGCAGTGGCCGGCATTTACAGAGTCGCAGGGAAGAACATGGCCCCTCTGGAAGCATTGGTGTGGGGCGTTGGGCAGACTGTGTTGACATTAATCATCTCCTTTTCAAGGATCCTCGCTACACTTTGAGGTTTCTGAGGAATGTCTCATTTCACGTAAGGAAACATGTACAGATTCCCTGAAAAATGGCATTAAGAAGAGGAAATGAAATGGTACAAGTGTGGGCCCAGCAAGTCAGACCACAAGGAAGACCTTGAGCCGTGTGGAAAGCCTGCCCTCCGGCGTTCCAGTGATTGCACTACTGCACTGCACCTTACGTGCCTCCCTCCCAGGCAAGGTGCACCAGGACAGACACTTTGTGAAGCCACAAGAAAAGCACCTTGTGCAGCTGCCAATCAGGTTAACCTTGGGGTGGAAATCATCGTTCTCAACAGTGTTAAGTTACAGGAACATTTGGAGAAGTCGACATATGTGCCAAACTCTTTTTTTTTTCTGTTAACATCGATCATGTGACCGTTTGTAAGAGTAGATAAGGATGAGTGCTGTGAACATGCTTGACATGATTGAGGTAACCTAGCAAGATCTCTCTTTTATAAGGCTAAGTCCCATAGGAATGCAAAATAACCAAGTGTTGAATATAAGAGAAACTGGTTTTAATGCTGAGCAGTTCTGGAATTTAGGGTTGTGATGTTTAGTGTTATTCTTATTTAATTTATATGGAAAATAGCAGTCTTTTAAATGGAAGATTGGCTAAACTGTTTTAAGGACTTGAAGTAGATGTGTAGGGTGCATACTTTTGACTAACTTAACACACTTTTAATAGTTTCCCTCATATATAACATACTATTTATATGAACTCGAAACCTTTTTGGGTCACATACATTGTCATTTGTGTGTCATAAAAACATAATTTGAAAATATTCTTATATATTTTGTAAGAAAAAAGTCTGAAATGCATGTTGCATTCTGTGACCTCCTACACTAAGGTTTTACCTTGTAACTCATGGAGAAAACACCTGGATAGCTAGTGCTGCAGTGGCATTGAATTACTTCTTGCAGGTACTTTGATTTTTTTTTTTTAACAAAGCAAACAATCTTTTATTCTGGAGTATCAATTGTTTAAAGAATGGCCTAAATTAGGCTCTGGAAATAAAAAGCCTCATTTATAGATAAGAAGTAAGTTATATAGGAAGAATAATAAACTGTCTTATTTTGGATATGTGGCAGTGTCGTCATTGTGCTAAGTAAAAATTGGGGAAATTAGTGAATAATTGTGAAATTTGGCAGTTAGTTTCAGCATAATAATACAGTTCAGAGCGTGTCCCTGAGAGATTCATTTCAGTTGTTTAGTTCTTGATTGATGCTGTATGATTTAAGTTTATTTAATGTTATGTTAAGTTTACTAGCGTCGGGAATTACATTTAAAATGGAAATGACCTTTGTATAAAACATTTTAAGAAGCAGGGAAAACGTAGACCCCAATTGAATTGAGATTTGTTTGGGGGTTCTACTTACAATGATTAATGTGCTAACTCAAAGGAAGCACCATTGCAGAGAATAAGAAGGTAAGGCCAATCTAAAAACATAATTTTACACACTAGTCTCTTTGCTTAATTGAATTAAAAAAATAAGTTTCTGTTAGATCTCATTCAAATTTGAGTCTCTTGTGACACACATACACTTTTTTTTTTCCTACCCAAAGCAACAGCAGCAACAACAAACATGTATGAACTTACTGAGGAATTGAGGGTAAAGGCAGTATAAGAAGTCAAGCTTAGGGACTTACTAACACTGGCATTGAGTGTTTAACAACAACAACAACAAAGAATGGAACAATAAGCCAACTATGCATTCTTAGAGATCCTAGAAGTAAATCTTGAAGTTGATCCTTATATACATGCTATCATTTCATGTATTCTCTATATTTCTGATGTTTTCTCCAATTAAATTTAGGCAGAACTTTTTCTACATCATTTTGATTTCATCTTTTCTGTTAGACTTGAATTGTTATTTGTCTTTTGGCTATTAAAGCATTACATTCTTTCAGAAGAACGACCAATAAGATATTGAAATTGTTTCATAATTACAGAATGAGTATTTATTTTAACATGGTTATTTTAAGAGAGTCTTCATGTAAGAACATGGAACACATGTTTTATAGTCCAAAATTAACTAGAAAATAACTTGGATACATGAAATATATGAATGAATGGACCAAAGAGATTTTAAATTCCTACTTTTATTGTAGAGTGAAAGAATAATTGAGTGATTAATAGTTTGTAAGTGTCCTGCAATTAGCTTATTGTCAAGTTGATTTACATTGTGTGTGTGTGTGTGTGTGTGTGTGTGTGTGTGTGTGTGCGTGTGCGTGTGTATGCATGTGTGTGACCAGTATGTGAAGGGGCAGGATATTTTAGTTTCTTTTTTGTTCTCAGTTATTTCTGTTGGGATTTTGTGCAACAGTCACTATGATATTTTTAAGTGTAGTTGAGTAGTGTGAATTTATGAAATTGTCTTATTTATATTCAGATTTCAAAAAGGACATTTCTTAGAGATAAGACGTGTTTAATGATAAATATATATACTCACATACATACATATTGTAAACATATATAGAGAACTATATATGATACAATATAATTGGAAAACCTTTGCTTAATGATCATTTTCATAGTCTAGTGGAGAATTTGCTATATTTGTTCAATTGAATGATCATTTAAGTAGATTTGAGGCTGTTTGAGATTTGTGAATCTGGGAGATTTTTTTCTTGATTTTCTTGATTTTTTTTTTCTTGGAGACCCTTGTGTGACGCATGACAAAAGCCATTATTTGGCATAGTTGGATTACAGGTTCTTAAAATTTCTATGTGATTCTATAAAATTTCTAGCAGTAAATTTCCTCTGTGACAATGGTAGAAGGAAAGGGGAAAATGCTGTACAGTTGACCCTTCTTTATTTCAGAAATGTTTAGTAAAATATCACCGAGAGTGCACTCATTTCCCCAGAGAGGGAATGCCTGTGTACTCAAAGTTATACAGCACCCCCCTTAGAAAGGTCCATAGATTTATATCCTGAGACTTCAGAAAAGCTGCAAAGAAAGCTGAAAACTTTCAGAAGAAGGCAGTTCAACAAACCAGCTCTGCTGGAGGCCCGGTCGGTCCCCTGGTGCCTGGTGAGGGGGGTTCCCAGCGTGCCGGGGTCCTGCACTCAGAGCTTGTGTCTTCGTTGTTACCGGGGCACCACACAGCATCAGAGCTCCTCACCTAGTAGACCTTGCTAGCGTTACAGCACAAGTTTCCACTGCAACATTTCCAGCCCTCAAGGATTTTGTTTGTATTTTAAGTTAGAGAATTAAAGACATGGATTAGCTTGTATATGTTCTCTCTGTGAGGGAAGGAGAGGGGATAATGTAAAAGCAAAGATTATTGTTGATAAAAGGATTCAGGGAAGCTGTAATTAAGATGGGGTAAGTAGGCCCACCATGCTAGGGTAACCGCGGCTGGCATCCACATGCACGGAACTGGATTTTGTAAGGCACTCTGTGCAGAGTATTGTCTCTTCTGAGTACAAAGTTGACCATGACAGGGTTCAGCCCTTCCGCTGCCCCCAGCCAGAAGAACATCAAAACCATTCTAGGTGGGCATCTACATCTTCTTTCTGCTCTCCACTTCTGTGATTTTTCCAGTTTATCCACTGGAATCACTGCTGTGATTTGTGAACACTGGGCCTCACTGGGCCACTTGCTGCTTGGTCCGAGCAAACAATTAGTCTCGTGAAGCTTCAGTTCACTGCCTGATACCTCCTGTGGCTTTGTGAGGATTCTAGGAGACTACTTTGAAATGGCAATGCATACCTGATGTAGACACTGAATACTCAGAATTTTAAAATTACATTTTACAATCCCAATGGAATATTTTGTTTTGTAGGATCCACCCATTTTCTTCCATTTCCTTATTACCTTTCCTCCATAAATTTTAAGACTGAATTTTAAAATTTTAAAACTGAAAAACTTATCTCTTACAATCTAACTTCCATCACCTTGTCTCTACCCCTTTATTTTAAAAATCACCAGACCTTTAAGAACGGTAGAGAGCTGTGGGTGATGGGAGAGGCCAGGACAAAGAGGATTTATTTACAGACTCTGGTTACCACTGATTAAACTAGGGAAACAGTCAAGAAGGCCACCACTTTCTTCTTGACTGCACCCTATCTGCTTCTCTGATTCACTAAGTATATCCCTGACATTCTACTTTGTGCACACTATTATTCTTGTCTTAGAGGGAAGACACAGCCTTTTCATTTCTCTGCATCCATCTGTCACTCAGGGTACAGGCTGGCAATGTAGATGCAGTTCCACAGAAGCACAGCCCTGTGCCCTAAGCCCCTCTTTCTGTGGACCGAGGTTCTTGTTGGCTCCTGATGGTGGTGGTTTTGTATATGGACTGCTTTTGTTTAAACCAAAAAAGAAATACCAATACTTTAAACGTGTGTCCACTTTTATATTTCAGGAAGTAACAGCACAGAAAGTATACCACTGGTTAATATATTAATATTTTTTCAAATGTGTGGTCCCGTTTTGTAGCAGACAGCAGTTTACAGAGAGGAAGAAATGGTGGGGGTAACATACAAAGGATGCATTGACGAAGCCCGTTGGTTTAGCACACAACTCCACCCTCCTGTTAAGCCTGCACACTACTCTGAAGAAGGCTGAGCTCTGCATGATTACCTAATGCTCTGCCCCTTTAGATGTGGGATCTTCTGACCACAGCCCATTTGAAATCAGATTTCTTTGGTGTGCACATGTGCTCATGCCTGTGCACATGTGTGTGTATGGTGGGTTTGCTTTACTAACCCGAGAATTTCTGTTCCATGTAGATATTAAGAGTTTGCTGAGTTTAATTGTCTTGAAACACAGTTATGAATGTATTTGGTATGTGTAGATATACTGGTTCATTCTCTTTCAGATTTCTAAGTGAATTGAGCTATAAACTGTACCCATCTTGTTGGAGGCTAGGGATCCAGGTTCACCGTCTTTTCATTCAATTACACATCTATTGAGCTTGTATATCCCTTCCTTGATTTGGGGAACTAGTTTATCAGTTGCTTTAAAATCTTCCCAAACAGATGTAATACAGCATAGTCTAGATGTATGTACAATTGGTTGGTAGAAGCTGAAGTTCTGGTTCCAGTACCTTTGGCTATGAAGCCGTTATTGGAAAATAAGCGCAGACACGTTGGAATGAATGGCTTGAAGCTCTGGCTTCATGCTCTGCTGTACCTGGATGTAATATGTCTACCCTTGGTAGATGTCCCATTTAGCTCTATAATGGAAACTGGAAAGCAGTATGTTTGTAAATATACATGAAAAGAGGAACTAAAACACATGATCAGCTAAATCCATAACCATGCACTTCTTTTTCCTAAATACCTGCTAGGATTTGTCAGAAATCATCACTTTTTAAGAACCCTGTTTAAATGAATACTAGCTTCAGTGTACCATTGATGAAGAACATTTTCCTTCTTAAAAAATTTTTACAGTGTTCTTTTATTATTGTTATATTTTTTAGCCTGGGTAGCCCAGGTTGACCTCAAATTTGTGATCCTCCTGCTTCAGCTTGATGAGTGCTGGGATTATATAGTGCAACACCACCTGAACTACTTTCTTTTTGTCTCTGTGTGTATGTGGTAATGGGGTTTGAACTCAGGGCTTTGCGCTTGTTAAGCAGTCACTCTACCACTTGAGCCATACCTCCTGCCCCCTACTGCCTTTTTTAGCATTCATTATTTTTCAGGTAGGATCTCAAGATTTTGCATGGGTCAGTCTCATTCCATGATCCTCCACCTGTGGCCTTCCACAGCAGTGGATCACAGGCATGCTTATTAATTGAGATGTCATCTCACTAATTTGTTCCCCCTAGGCTGGCTTCTAACTGCAGTCTTGATATCTGTTTCCTAAGTAGCTGGGATTATAGGCATGAGCCATTGTGCTGACCATAGTCCTTTTTAAAATTAAAGTATTTGCATTTAATCATTAAGTATCTTTGGGGTAGAATATTTTGAAGTTTTTCTCCTTAAGAGGCAACATTGGAAGCACTTGTTTGAATAGTAGTGAAGATGATTTACTTTCAGTACTGGATGAGTTGATGGGCTTACTTGTTGATACTTGCTTGGAGTTTGTGCTATTGAATGGTTTATCCTGGAGGAATTTAAAGACAT